TGGTTGCTCCGGAGCATGGATCCATCAATTGCTTGCTCGATTCCATTCCATGAAGAAGCTCGATCCTTATGGCTTTATCTCGAAAAGCGGTTTTCTGTTGCTAACGGGCCTCGGTTGCAGCAACTCCGAGCCTCGATAACGACGTGCCGGCAGTCCAAGACCATGAGTGTTGATGCATACTACACGGCACTCATGAGTCTTTATGATGAACTCAATAGATTGAAACCTCTACACGCATGCACATGTGGCCGGTGCACGTGTGATGTCGCTAAGAAGTTTGCGGCCGATCGTGAAGAAGAACAACTACACCAATTCCTTATCGGAATTGATGACGAAATATACGGCACGGTGCGGTCAAATCTTCTCTCCCAGTCCCCGTTGCCGGATATCGAACGAGCCCACCATGCGTTTCTACAGGAGGAAAATTCACGGGCGATATCACGTGGGAAAGCAGCAGTGACCGATGTCCAAGCTTTTGCAGTACAGGCAGATCGTGCGGTTAAGGGACGTGCGGAGAAACAAGACCGGGTGAGACCCATATGCTCGCACTGTAAACAAAAAGGCCACGAAATCAGTTCGTGTTTCAAACTGCACGGGTATCCCGACTGGTGGGAAGAGCGAAATAAAGCCAGAGGAACTGCCGGTGGGTCTGCCGGCGGGTCGAACAGTACACGTGCAGGGGGGGTGCGTACCTTGGCGGTAACCTCAAGCAGCACCTCGGCAGCAGCTAGCGAAAGTGACGGAGGTATTGCCAGAAGGCTGGCTTCGTTGACCAATGAACAGGTTGACGCCCTTCTAAATTTGATTAATACTGAGACCCGCTCCAATGACCGCATGTCTGGTAAGCGTATTTACCTTAATTGGATTCTTGATACCGGAGCAACACATCATGTTACGGGAAACTATGATTGTCTGATTGAGTCTACTCGAATAAATGCATGTCCGGTCGGGCTTCCTGACGGACGGACAGTGGTGGCTCTAGTACAAGGACGTGTACCCTTGTCCCAAAATATTATTCTTGATCAAGTCCTATTTGTGCCGGGACTTACGTGTCATCTCATATCTATCTCACAATTAATTGATCAAATGCCTTGTCTTGTCACATTTACTAATGATCTTTGTGCTATACAGGACCTACACTCGAGGAGCCTGATTGGAGCCGGTGAGAGGCGGGATGGGCTCTTTTATTTCAGAGATGTTCCTATGGTGCATGCTGTTCAGACGTCATCTCAACCGGAGTTTGATTTATGGCATCGTCGTTTGGGTCATCCTTCTGACCGTGTTTTAAAATTATTACCTAGTATTGTTTCTAGTTCTGCGCCTAAGAAATTGAATAAAACCTGTGAGGTATGTCCACAGGCCAAACAAGTCCGGGATTCTTTTTCCCTTAGTGAGAATAAAGCTGGTAGAATTTTTGAATTAATTCATTGTGATTTGTGGGGTCCATATCAGACCCCGTCTACGTGTGATGCCATTTATTTCCTTACTTTGGTTGATGATTTTTCACGAGCTGTTTGGGTATATTTGCTTCGTGATAAAACGGAGGTTCAAAAGTATTTTCTATTTTTCTTGGCTATGGTCGAAAGACAGTATGAGGCTTCTGTTAAGACTGTTCGAACTGATAATGGCACTGAATTTCGTGGATTAAAAACTCACTTTGATGCCAGCGGTATTGTATTTCAGACTTCTTGCGTTTACACACCTCAGCAGAACGGGAGAGTGGAACGGAAACACCGTCACATACTGAATGTGGCACGAGCATTGATGTTTCAGGCACATCTTCCCATACGTTTGTGGGGAGAATGTGTTCTGACCGCAGTACATCTTATTAATCGGACACCATCTGGACTGTTGGACGGGAAGACCCCGTATGAGATACTGAATGGCAGGCCACCTGATTTTTCTCATCTTCGCGTGTTTGGATGCTTGTGTTTTGCCCACAATGTCAAAAGTCGGGGAAATAAATTCTTTTCACGCACCAGGCGATGTGTGTTTGTTGGTTATCCGCATGGTCAGAAAGGGTGGAAATTATATGACTGGGATACAGGTGACTTATTTGTCTCTCGCGACGTTAAGTTTTATGAAGATGAATTTCCTTTCTTGCAATCTGAATCCACACAATCTTCATCTTCCGAGTCACCGCATGTTTCTACGGGTCCCATCATTCTTGATCCTGATCCGGTTGTTTCCTCAGCTGACACCGCCACCGAGACAGCTTCCACTATGGACGAACATACTTCAGGCAACACGCAGACTGAACCTACTCCTCTTGGCCGCGGCATGCGATCCAAGCGTGCCTCTGTTCTTCTACGAGATTTTGTTACTCATCACGTTCACTCATTGAGCCCATCTCCGTCTCCCTCCACTTCACTCAGCTCCTCAGGTACGCCCTACCCACTTACTCATTATGTAAATTGTGACAAGTTCTCTTCTGGTTATCGTTGTTTTCTTGGAGCAATTCTTGCAGGACAGGAACCTCAATCTTTCCGTGACGCTATGACTAATTCTGATTGGCGCAAGGCCATGCAAGATGAAATATTGGCCCTTGAGAACAATCACACCTGGGTCATGGAACCACTACCACCCGGAAAAAGGGCACTCGGGTGCAAGTGGGTTTACAAAATCAAATATCACTCTGATGGATCTGTGGAACGTTTCAAGGCACGCCTGGTAGTCTTTGGTAATCATCAACAAGAGGGGATTGATTTTTCTGAAACATTTGCCCCTGTGGCAAAGATGGTCACTGTACGCACTCTTTTGGCTGTTGCTGCCACTCAGAATTGGGCGTTACATCAGATGGATGTGCACAACGCTTTTCTCCACGGGGACCTGGACGAAGAGGTTTACATGAAACCTCCTCCTGGATTCTATACCTCACGGCCAGGAATGGTGTGTCGACTACGGAAATCCCTGTATGGTCTTCGCCAGGCACCCCGATGTTGGTTTGCTAAGTTAGCCGCTGCTCTGAAACACTATGGGTTTTCTCAGTCTTATTCTGACTATTCCTTGTTCTCTCTACATCGTGGATCTATTCGCCTACATGTTTTAGTGTATGTTGATGATCTTATCATTGCTGGGAATGATTCAGCTGCCATTGCGAGATTTAAGTCATATTTGAGTGCTTGTTTTCACATGAAGGATCTGGGCTTACTTAAATATTTTCTCGGTCTTGAGGTAGCGCGCAACTCTGAGGGTCTTTTTCTTTGCCAGCGTAAGTACACGCTGGATATCATCTCTGAGGTCGGTCTTCTTGGTGCTAAACCAGCTGAGTTTCCTATTGAACAGAACCATTCCTTAGCTACTTCTCGCAGTGATATGCTCTCCGATCCAGAAATATATCGACGCCTGGTTGGTCGCCTTATCTATCTCTCTTTTACTCGGCCAGATCTTGCTTATGCGGTACATATTTTATCTCAGTTTATGCAAGCTCCGAGACAAGATCATTGGAATGCCGCCTTACGATGTGTTCGGTATCTCAAGGGTACCCCAGGTCAAGGCATACTTCTACGTTCCTCTGGAAATCTTACTCTTACCGGATGGTGTGACTCCGATTGGGCCAGCTGTCCGCTAACCCGACGTTCTCTCACTGGTTGGATCATCTTTCTGGGCGAGTCACCTATCTCCTGGAAGACTAAGAAACAACACACAGTCTCTCGTTCTTCTACTGAAGCCGAGTATCGATCTATGGCGGCTATCACTACCGAATTGAAATGGCTCAAAGGATTGCTACACACGTTCGATATTGATCATTCTCATCCCATCCCTCTCTGGTGTGATAGTCGTTCAGCTCTTCATATTGCTCATAACCCAGTTTTCCATGAACGTACAAAACATATTGAAGTAGATTGTCACTATGTGCGTGATGCTATTCAAACAGGCCTGGTTTCTGCTCACCATGTCTCCACTACCGATCAGCTTGCAGACATCTTTACAAAGGCACTAGGAAAGAAGCAGTTTCAGTATCTTCTTGGCAAGTTGGGCATTCTTGACCCGCATGCTCCAACTTGAGGGGGGGTGTTAGACCTTCAGCCCGAATGGGCTTAATCTATTGTAATTAATTTATTAGATTATTAGTTAAATGGGCCAAGGGCTCTAGAATGTTCATACGTAGGTATATATATATATTCCTCCTCCTCCTGTATAAAGAGATATACGAATACATGCAATACTTATTCTACATTATTTTCCTTCCATGATGAGTTAATTCATCCTTAGTTAACATATTTATACTTCCACTTCTTTGCAATTGGCTGATATTCTAACGAAAGCTCTTGATCGTCGTTCTTTTCATTTCTTACTCGCCAAGTTGAGCATTCAATATCTTCATGCTCCAACTTGATGGGAGGGGTATTGGGAATATTTTGTACATTTTTAGTTTATTCTCCATATCTTCTAGATTATACTACAAACATATATTCCATATTTAATTTGTAAACCGTAGCATAGTATATGTGTATTTTTATTGTTAGCAATTAGCATATGTAGAGGATATAATTAAGGATACTTGGCATGTATATATGTTGGACACATACAATCGAATACAGGAAGGAGAATTACTCCATATTTTCGCATTATACATTGGAAAAATTGACACGAATAATCCCACCTTTCATCGGTCTTCTCATAATAATCTCACCTTTACGTAATCCCAGAATAATGCCACCTTTGCACCCCATCTTCTTTCATTGGACCCTGACCAAGTTTTTTACTCTTTTTTTGAAAATCATATAACTAATCTCACATTTCACTTTTTTATTATATCTTTATAAATGTGAGATTATTTATATAAGATATTCAAAGAAAGGTAAATAACTTGGTCAGGGTCCAATGAAAGAAGATGGAGTGCAAAGATGGGATCATTTTGGGATTATTTAAAAGTGGGATTGTTATGAGAACACTAGTGAAAGATGGGATTATTCTTGTAAATTTTTCCTTATACATTTAAGTATATTTTTGTTATTATCCGTATTCCATAAAATAAGATAATTTAATTTCAAAATGCCAAAGTGAAGCTGTCTTTAGAAACTCATGATTGAAAAGTGTATATATACTGTATATACACCGTCTCATAGTGATCTGAACAAAATGTAAGAAGATTAATGTGTGTCAAACAACATAGTCAAAAATGCCTATGCCACAACTACAAACAAATCTAAAAGTTTTGTTTTTGTTGTGACCGTATATATACGTATATGTATATACTCCGTATATGTGATGTAGACTTGTAATTTGGTCTTTATTAGCTAGTGACCAGCGCCTCTCTTGCTTGGACCAGAAGCTAATATGAACGCCATGCTTTTGACTGAATTGCCCTTACGCGAGGAGGAGCAATCCTTGCCGCCGCAGGTTGGTGAAGAAACAGAAAAAGCCGCCGCCTTTCCCATAGTTTTTCCTGCTGCTGCTTCAGTTTCCGGCGTTTGATAATGCTCGAAACCGTCGACGCTTCCGACGGAATTCCGGAGCGTCCGGCAATGGACGGCGGTTGTTATGAGCTGTGCTCCTAATAAGAGAAACAAAATTCCCAAATTATGGATATGAAAAGTCATCTTCTTAGACGTGTAACACAAATTAAAGTATTATAGCTAATACTTAATGGGGAATTAGATGAATGATAGATGATCTGCTAGCTGGGCTATATATATACACATATACGTAGTATATTCTGTTGTACGTAGGTGGGTGGAACCCAAACAATGACTTGGGAGGAAAGTGACTCTCATTCCATTATCATGCAATCAAAATTTAATTTACATTCTCCAGATAACTGTCTAGTCAGTTCTGATAGACCTTCACGAATGTAGTGTCATCCTATTTTTGATGTTGTACGTAGAAGTTCTTAGGGTATGCGTTCGATCTATTGTGTCACAAATATTTAATTTATCGTTTTTTAAGATGCATTGTTATGACATTGATAATATTTTGAAAAAAAGTTGTTTGAATTTAATTTTTTATCGATATCCCGGTGATTTGTCTTCATCTTAAGAAAATGATATTCCCTCATTTGTATCAAATTATCGGTCTTATTTTCAGGTGGTTTAAGTGTAGATTTAAATTTTAATTAAATGTAAGACGTTTTGGTATTATAGCAATATTGTACAGTGTTGTAGCTGTTATTAGAGTGAATTTCTTTTAAAATAGCAAATGAAATTTATGGGACAATAAATTTGATACGTTCCAAGAAGGAAAGTGAGACAATAATATTAACAACCATTCTTGGTGTACACATTTTTGTACCCATCAGTACACGCATGTGTCTGTGAGAGTATTTTTTTGTCTGTGAAGCACGGTCCACAGACATAAGTTCGCTTGTTTTGTCTGTGGAAAATTTCACAGACAAAACAAACCAGCTTTTGTCTGTGGACCGCACTTCACAGACAAAAAAAAACTCTTACAGACACATGCGTGTACTGATGGGTACAAAAACGTGTACAAAAGGAATTTTTGTAATATTAATACCGATGGAATAAAACTTATAGAGTACCTACCAAGAATTTTCCGCAAATGCTAGAGAGACACAACAGCAGTAAATTGCTGTATAATTTGGCCGACAATATAAACTGCTGAGCTAACTACCATGTATCAACTTATAAACTTTTCATGGGAAATGGCTTTTCAAAGAGTGGACTTTTTTGGAATTGCATTTTTATTTTATTTCAGAAAATCCTTATTTTCTGCGAGGTCTGCAATTAGTCTCCACTTCGGGATGCATTTTTCTTTTGTTATTCATAGTCAACGGTTTGGCTGAATTGACTTTATTATACTTTTATAGTACGTGGCTGGCTGGTCTTTGTCATACGGATGGAGGATATGTACGGTAGTTGTGTACAGATTTTAGCTTGTTTAATTAAGGGAGATTTACCTAAATAGGACTAAATAATACTACCTACGTCCTCCTAAGTTTGGGATAAAGGTGTAATGTGGTTTTTAAGAAAAATTAGAATTATGTTGTTGGTATTGAATTGATAAAGCGTGAATAAAGTAAGAATGAATTGTAGCCACTCAAATATTACCAAATATGGTATGAAACAAACTTAATGGGACGGACGAAAAGGTAAAACGGGAAAAAGTTAGGGGGACGGAGGGAGTACTACCTCCGTCCCTTAAAACTTTTTTAAATTTGATCGACAAGGAGAATAATAAAGTAAAAATTGTGTGATTGGTGTTTGTCCAGAGGAGAGAGAAATAACAGAAATCACAAAAAATTGATTAAAAGGGAAAGTGGCAAAGTTTTTTGGAACGTCTCAAAAAGAAAAGATTGCAAAGTTTTGAGGGACGTAGAGAGTTAGATAATTACAAAAATAGGAGTTTAAAGTTTAAATTCCCAAAATAGGACTAAATCTTTCTATTCTACCCTTCCCTTTGTCCTTCCTAATAGGATTTTTAAACAATCATTATAAAATATAAAAGAATAAAATAAAAAAAAAATCGTAAAACATAAATAAAAAAAAATATACAGACCTGAACAACCACCTCAGCCACCTTCCAGCACCGCCACCTCCGGTCGTCGGAAAAGATTGACAAAATGAGGAAAAATGTCATCATCATAGTAATTTTGAAGAGAAAGCTGAATATTTTCAAAGAGTAAAAATGTCATCTTCATGGCATTTTCAGATAAATGTGGCATTTTTTACACAATATGACATTTTTTCCGGTGACCCGAGATAATGGTGCTGGGAGGTAGAGGGCGTGTTCGTTGGTAGTGACCTACATATTTGTTAAATATTTTTTAGGTATTTTATTTTATTTTTTAGACTTTTTTAAAGTTTTTTTAATATTTTATTTTTATTTTTTTAATTTTTAATTTTCATTTTCTTTTTTCACGTTCTTATTATTAATTAATAGGGAAAAATAATTAAAATACCCCAAACTTTGAAGGGATGTGAGATGAACACCCCAAACTTGAATATGTAATTTAAATATCCCAAACTTTATATACAAAGTTATTTTAAAATCATAGTCAAGTATTATTTCTTTCAAAAATGTAAATTTATGATGTTAATTGCATGATTTAAAATATTTTTGAATTTATGAAGACACAATTAACATTCTAAACTTTTATTGTGAAATAAATAATGTTACCACAAATCTATATAATTGCAACACTTTTAATTTTCTATTTTAAATTATGCAATTAACCCATAAACCTACATTTTTAAAGAAATAATACATGAAAATGGTGCAGAAATAACTTTTTTATATAAAGTTTGGGGTATTTAAAATACATATGCAAGTTTGGGGTATTTTTATTATTTTTATAAATATTAATAAAAATATAAATATTATTTTTATTTTTATTATAAATGGAAATATGATTTTCTTATTCATAAAATAAATCTATTGGAAATTATAGGAAGGGGGGTGGAATGAGAAGAAGGGATATATATTAGTCCTATTTTGGAAATAAAGGGATAGTGAGTTTTTTACAAGAATATTACTAAAATAAAACTTATTTACATAAATATGACTATTCATTATTACAACGTAGTGCTGTGGCAACTGAAGTTCAAAACTTGAACATGAATTACTATGATTTCATTACTACTCTAGTAATGAATCATATTTTTGTAAATCATCTTTATTTTGGTCATATTTATGTAATATAATTATTTCTTATATATTACTATCAGTATTGTACTAATCCGTATATAATTGAGGAAATGAAACGCTAACATTACAACTATAAAAATTGGAATTTTATAATTGATGTTGAATTTGTAGAGTATTTTTTATTCAAAACAAAACAAACGATATTATTCATAAAATAAAAATTACAGTGCAAGAAGATAAATTAAGAAAGAAAAGTTCATAAAAGTACATGGAAAAGAAAAGAAGAAAAAAACTAGGCCCAAGGGAAGTGATCTGGTCCTCATGCTATGACGTCTTTTATTCTCTTGAGATTTCATGACTTCATGTAGATTTTTAGTTGCGTGTTCAGGTTTTCTGTTGGCAAGCAGTTTTCGGAGGTGACCAACTTTGATTTACGACAAATCGTTTTATTGAATTTAGAGTTCCTAATTTCTTCCTAGCTTGATAAAGGGGGACGACGATCGCTTTCAGGTTTAATTTTCTTATTATTGTGCCTATTATTTTTAAGAATTTAGTTCACTCTTTTGCTAATCTGAAAGAGAGTTTAGCAAAATTAAGTAGAGCAACATTCACTTGTTCTATTTGGTAATGATATATTCACCTTTATTTATTAACGTATGTCATTATGTATTTACTTAAATAAAAAATTATTTATAAATGTTCACTAATCTTTCTCTTTGGATGCAAAATCGACAATGTATTGCATTTGTTTTGATAAATCATACTCCGTAATTCATTTAGTTTTGATTTTATTTATTGTTAAGGTATTTCATTTTTTCTTCAATTTTAAGTTAGTTTAAATACAGGTTGTAATAAGTTTATTGTGTTTAGAGAAAATGTTTAAAGAACATGGAAGAAGTAAAACACCAAATCTATAGTAATGTAGTACTACGTATAAGATATCATTCAACCAAACAAATTAACGTGATATTTCTTCGGTCTTAATCAAACACAAATGTGATACAATTGAATACATTCTCATCAATCTAATATACTCAATAATCTAACATTTCCAAAGTAATCTGACATCCCTTGAACCATAGGGGGCCTAAATGCCACTTTTCATGCATGTCGATCCGTTCGGATGCACTCCTTAGAGCATCTCTAATGCCACAATGTTCACGGTGCACATGTGGAATGAGAGAGATTAACACACAAATATTAATACACAAAGTATTTCTCTCCCCATTCGAATGATCTTATATGTTTTTGGTAAATTTTCTCCACAATGTCAAGGATAATGTTTATATGTAGACGCTGTGGTTGACACTATTATCAAAATTATACAAAATCGCAGAAAAAAGAAGAGAGTAATGTCAATAATTTATTTTTATGTTTCTATCTCTCTCATCACATGTGCACTATGCATATGATAGCATTGGAGATATTCTTATGGATAAGCGCACAATTCCAAAAGATGCAAATGTTTTTTCCAAAAACAACAAAATTTAACTTTTGGAGTGTTAGTGTTTTTACGCTTCTATCTTCCAAAAAAATACTACGTATAAATTTGGTTAATTGATCGATTTGTATATTCAATTTTAGAAAATGTATTAAGCTTATAAACCAGAAATGAACAACATTCTTAGTGCACAATAAAATAAATACAATAATAAAAATATTCATGAACATTAATATTTTTGAAACTAAATGTGAACCATAAAATAATGTCTTTCACTAAAAAAAATTATTTTTCTATGCATTTTTTGAATTTTAAATAACAATAGATTAAGAGACTTTTAATTGTTGATTTATTGTTAATCTGGGTCATTTTTATCAAAGTTTAATTAGATATTATTATAGGTTTAAAATCAACAAATGGCAAGTTTGAAAGATGGACAAATTATGTTTTGAACTTATATTCCAATTTTGTTAAATGACGGTGTACCCTACATGAATTTAATGTTCCAAAATTGCTCTAGCCATTAAATTTTCAAACAAACGTTTCTCACAATTTTTATTGATTCAAACGTAGTCGTTAAGATTGAGTGAGTATTTGCATTTACTT